CCCTAACTGACCTGAACTTACGTTGGTCCAGTTTGTTAATGGCATCAGTGGCCTTTTGTGCCTCCTGTGGGTTATGCCATCAAGCTTCTACCATCTCCATAAACTGGTCTAATGTCAGGGACTTAGACCAATCCGCCATACGTCTCCCATACCCGGCCTTAATAACTACACCATCTAACCATTTGGCTGCCTTACCCTCGAGGTAAGATGCAGCAGTTACCACTTCGTCCTCAGGCAAGGTCCTCTTCGCCTTCACCCAAACCGGGACGGTCCTCAACCATGTGTTGAGTTCCTCGTCCTTTCTCTCGCCTGAGAAGGCAAGAGGCGGTTTCATTGGGGTTTTGGGGTACCATTGACCTTGTTGATGTCCCTGTGCAGGAACAGGTTGTTGTGGTGATGTAGTAATCACCGCTGGACTCGAAGAAGAAGATGCAACAGTCTGTGCGGCTGTTGCAGATGTGTCACTTGGCTGTGTGCCAGCTTGAACCGGAAAGGGGCCTGACATCGCCGATAACGGCAACGGCGATTGTGCTGGTGGCCGGAATCCTGGCCTTGTCAAAGCATCCAGGATTTGGTCTAGAGTGCTCTGCATGAAATCTAACTTGCTGTCCACGTGTGCGTGTAGCGACAACATGTTATTTTTCAATACCTTTAGTGGGTCAGTCAACGCTGACTCATCCAAGCCCTCTAGTTCAGCCTTGTCAACCTCTAAAGATTCAAGCCTGGCTGCTCTAGTTTTCATCGCATTTTCTCGATCGGTAGCATCTTTCAGGTCCTTCTCTAACTTACGGCGGAGCATCTCGACCTGCTGGATCTCTCTGAGCTCCCTCTGACGCGGGGTCAACGGGCTGAACTGCGAGCCCGCCATTTGACTAGAAGACTGGCTAGAGCCTGTGGAACCGGAAGTGCCTGAGGAACTTGTGGAACTCGTTGGCATTCCCAATGAGCTCCCACTAGTCCCTGACGAGGACGCAGACGATGACGCAGCCGAGCTGATACCGTTAGCCATTGTTGCTGCTCTGGCTGTTGTTGCCTGCTCTCTTGCTGCTCTAATTGCTTCTGCTATCCTCACTGCTAGCGCAAGGGCTCTACGTAGATGTCTTTCTCCTCCTGGCTCCAAGGCCTGGAACACGTGCGGTACCCTTAATGCCCGAGCACTTGTTAGTCTCCTTTCGTCAACTCTATCATCAGAAGCGTCTGAACCGCTCATTAGTTAGACAGATAGTGTCTACACTAGAATCCCCTAATGAAATCCTACCGCAGCATGTATCTGACCGACACGTAATTTTCTATAAATAGTTGTGTCCGGCGAGTTCCCTACTATACAGAATCAAGTGGCATGTCTATAACATTCACACAGATTGTCTACATAGTCTAGATGCACCTTGATTGGTCCACTTACAGCAGCATTAGTTAGAACTGGCTATGGTAGCATACAACAGTCCTACTCTTAATCTGTCTGTGAGGTTAGCAGTCCGTCAACCAACTAATCAAAGGTACAAAAAAACAATGTAGCAGATGTATGATTGATGGGTATGGTTGTGTATACAGTTGAGCACCAATTAGAACCTACCCTTCCCCTCAATCCAACATTCCGAACAGCATCTTGAGCAGAGCAGTGTGTTCGTGTGCACATCGGCCCACCCCTGTGCCCAAGTCCGTTACAGAGTAAGCCAGCCCAACCATTCTTTTTTTTACCCTCGTATGGCAACGAGCCTTACTGCCCATGTGATCTGGCTGATCAGGAGGAATTTATAGAGCGCCCCCATCTCTTCAGGAATTATTTAACGTCGCAGTCAGGATGACGATCACAGCCAGATTCACGATGAACACCCAACCAGAAATATTTATAGACGGTCAGGTGAGCGTCTGTCATGGGCTGGCACACCCGGAGGAACTTCTATCAGCGCAGCAAGTGCCAAACAGGATAGCAGCCATCGCATGCGTGCACTACTCCCTGTGGGTTGGCATGGTGACCGTGACCCAAGTGCTTCGACCAGGGCCCTTCAGAGGCAACGCCCTTTCTCCTTCCAGATGCTTCAGGGAAGATTGTCGTCTCTCAAGGTAGCGCACTCATGACACCTCACCAAAAGAGAGGGATCTCAAGTTGGACTCACTTCCTCACGGTAAGAAGAGATTGAGAGA